TTTTGAGCTTGGATCCTCGTACGGGATTCATTTTCACATTTTGTCAAGTCGTGTACTCTTTGAATTTCCTTCTGGTTGTTTTTCTCCAGTTTCAGGGTTTCTGGCCCTGGTTGCCGCCGAACTTGTTCGGGGCATATCTCTCTGTTCGAGACTCAGTTTTTAATGCTGTTTCGTCCATTGTTCATATTTTCTCATTTTGGTTCTTTTTTGTTCATGGAGTTTCATCGTTTGAGCGCGTCTGCTCAAATTCCAATTTTTCGGACCTGGTGGGGCCCTTTCGAGGCCCTTTTAGGGTTTTTCTATAATGGGGACTTTTAGAGAAAAATCAGATTTTCCTCTCTCTCTCTCTCCTTTCTCTTGGCAAGCAGCCATGGATGCCCACGGGGATGCGTTCATTCTTTCTTCTCCTCTACTTGATTTCCTTAGTGAAAAGTCTTTGGCCTTAACATTTATCGTAGGCCTCGTCGTGCTCTACCTTTTCCCCTTATTAGAACCTATTTTTGGCTAAATCTTGAGTTCAGGTTTGAGGTCAAGTTGGGATTTTGGTAGGTCCTCTTTGGAGTTTAATGATCACGGCATTGTCCCCGACATAACCTAGGAGTATCGTCGGATTCAGAGCAGTTTCAATTCGGTGGGGATTTGAGATTTCATCTCAAAATGAGGTAGGGGATGTCTTAGGTTTATATTAATGTTGTATTGATTGTTATATGAGCATATACAACTTGTAAGCATGCCTTTGTTCAAGTTTTAGAATTTAATTTAATTATTTTCTATGATTAAGATTTAATTCACATGGATGTATGTTGCTTAGAATTAAATTGTGGCATGCTAGTAAATTAGGCCTTAGTATGTTTGTTAACATATATTAAATTTGGGGCATTTGAATAAGAATTGCAAAATTTATTTAATATTTATCTTTTGTGAAAGTTTAATTTACATAGTTGTATCAGGCATGAAATCAACTTGTAATGCGATATTAAAGTAGGCCTTGGTGAGTTCTTTAACATATATTAAATTGAGGACATTTGGATATGTTTGAAAATCTAGAGGGAAATTAATTAATTAGCTTAATTAAATTTATTTTAAGTGTTGTGGTCGCTAAAATTGATTTTGGGTATAATATATGTGAAGACCATGTTATAATCTTTAACATATATTAATTTGAGCCTATTTGGAATTGACTTGAAATCTAGAGACATTTCATGTTAGGTTGAAAATCTCTTGAAATATAATATGTTGAATTACCTTGTGAGCATGCTACTAACTTGTTGTAGAATTAGTACTTATCGTCTCTAAAGATGGTAAATTGATTTAGCATGATATGTGATATCATTGTCTCGAATAGCTTGTTTAAATATACCTTGTGTAGGTATATAGCTTGGTAGAACATTACAATTGTTCACCTTGGAAGCTAGTTACTAAATTGAAGCTTATTTAGTACTTGTGGCTTAGGGTGTTAATATGGCTCAATTGTTGTAAAATATTCTAGCTTTGTGTATAAATTGCATATTGAGGACATGACATGTCATATGCTATTTAGACTTAAATTCTAGAACATGAATTGTGTGGATTCAACCTTACTTGTGCATGGAATGTGGTAACTTGCATTTGATTTTGTATAAGTTTTAAACTTATTGGTTTTGGAAAGCTTGTGAGGACATAATTTATGTGATGGCTAAGGTTTGGCTCTAGTACGGAGACAAGAGTCTTCTAAGTCATAAGTGCGCACTAGGTGGTACCTTGTGGGTCGTAATTACCTAAAAATACCTGCTTGGTCTAGCGACCACATGTCCTAGTTTTTCCACTATTTGATTTCGTATTTAATTTCAAGTTGTTAACCATGGATTACTTGTAACTTGAGAATTAAAGTTTGCCTTGGAAATTTGATTCCTATTTAGTATACTTGAACTTGTATACTTGTAACTTGAGAATTAAAGTTTGCCTTGGAAATTTGATTCCTATTTAGTATACTTGAACTTGTATACTTGCTCCGTGAGTTTAAATTTCATTTAGTATGCTTGTGCCGTGTATACTTGTTTTAGGCATATCTCTTTTAGCTTAGTATACTTGTGTTCGTATGCTTGATTTACAAGATTTCCATATAAAAGGCATACTTGTGTAAATATGCTTAGACATTGCATGACTTGTCTTAATATGGTTTAATATACTTGAAAATGTATGCTTGTATGTCGTATAACATGTTTTACATTGTTTAGTATACTTGAGTATGAATACTTATATGCCGTTGTTCACTTTAAATTGCATGAGTAGCTTAGGATGCTCCCTGAGTCTCACTCTGACATAGACGCTAGGTGGCATGAGCCCCTTTAATTTGTTTCACCTTAAGGTGATATAATTGTAAAATGCTAGATCGATGCATGCTCATCTCCTACGAGTAGCTTTATGTTACTCACCCACGTAGTGGGGACATTTTTTAGGTACAGGGACCTTGATTTGGGATGCACACTATGCCATGGAAGTTTCGTAGACTAGAAGTATCATTTTCATGAAAATGTTAACATAAAATGCTATTAGTAGCTCATATGTCAAAACTTGTATTCTTTGATTCCATATATGTAAAGTATGCATAAGTACACTCTTTTCAATGTATTTGACATGTATGAGATGAAGCCGGAGGCCAATGACATTTATGTTGTATTCTATGTAACTTTTAACTTCATGAAATAGTATGAATATTGGAAAATGCCGAGTCATTACTTCACTATGCTTGCATCGGGTGTGGGAATTCCATTTTTTTCTTTCATAGGGTCTCATTAATCATGTATGAAGTGTGGCCAAGGGCCAAATGGTAATTTGAAATCATTTGTTAATTTTAGTTTTCAAATGTCCTTTTTTTTTTTTTTTGTTCATTTTTGCCTTTTTGGCCGTTGGGGGGTCGGATTCAGTATCGGTGGTATTTTTAAGCCGTGGACCATTGTAGCGTGTCCTAATAGGTAAGTTACGTTTGCGTGCATGATCGTTTCCGGGCAAACCTTCTTCTTTGGTGAAATGAGCCTCTTATGGACTCATTTTGAAATTTTGTTGCATAATCTGATATAGGGGCATTCTAGACTTATCATTGTAGTTTTATTTTCTTATTTCAACATGATTAAATAGAAAACGTGATTTTAGGTGGGGTTTCTTCTTAGTGTTTTTCCAGAAAATGTCGTCTTGGTACCAGAAATCGTTCATGAAGTTCAGCTTTTAGTTTTGCATTTAGCAGCTTTTTGGACCCTCATGACCTGATTTCATGGAGGGGAAATTTTGGCATCTTACAGTGAGTTTTTTGGATTCCTTTTAACATGTCATGTAGAAAAATCAATTTTGAGGGGGGTTTCTTTTTTGTGTTTTTCTAAAAAATATTATCTTGGCCCTCAAAAATCTATTTTTTGCCGAAAAACCCCTACTGCCAGGTTTCCTTGTTGACCCTTCTGTTTTTTGCTTCGTAACCGGTTAAAAGGGGTCTCCTAACCTATTAGATGTGCTTGGGAAGTGTTGTGGTCATGAATTTTGGCCTCCTAACCGGTTAGGAAGGTGTGGTAACCGGTTAGATGTTCTAGGGTTGGCTCCTTTTGACCTTTTTTCCCATTCTTCTTCCGTTAGCCATATCTTCTTCATCCGAACTTCGAATCAAGTGATTCTTGAGTCTAAGTTCATTAATTTTTCATTGTCTTTCCAATGGTGTGCTCAGTGGAACCCAATTTTATATTGGAAATGACCATTTTGCCCCTAGGTTCATTCTTGTTTATTTTTGAAACGTCGTTTCCGCATTTGTTTACTTTGGGTTCCGTGACCTCATTAAGCGTTACATTGGTGTCTTAGAGACTTGTTGTATCTCTAGAGACCATTGTTTCATCTTTTGATTCCACATTCTAGATCTATATCCGGTCATCACAGGACACACTAGGTTAAAAAATCTAGGGTCGTCACACATCTAATGAAGTAGGAATGGGATTTGGAATGGGATGGGGGCAACCACTTGGTTGCACTGGTTCACTAACTTCAATTGGTCTCTCTACCCTATTGTCCACTTACCTACCACTTCTCAAATTGGTTACAGCTTGCACTTGCTCATGTGGAGGAAATCCCGATGTAGGACTTGTTTCCACCATGTAGTGTCTCTTGGGATTAGTCTCAGGTTGGCTAGGTAACTTACCTTTCTTTCTTGCATTCATGGAATTAACTATTTTCCCGATTTGGAATATAAGATTTGAGATGGATTAAGAATGAGAGTGTAACAATTGATTGTTTTCCTCTAAACCACCCAAGGCCGCCAAAACCTTGTCCTCAAAAGTGGAATTCCTAGGATGAGCTTAAGATTGATGAAAGTAAACTTAAGAATTGGAGGCTTAAGGATAAGAATAGTGATTTACATTTTGATTGGAATAGAAAGGAAGATGGTACCCTTGAGAATTTGCATTTTGAAAACAAGGAGGCACATACTTTCCATGGAAATTTAGACTCTGAGGAGGGTTTGCACCGGCTCCTTATTTTTTCTAAGAAAAGTTTGAAGTCTCTCTCCATCCCAGAATATAAGCATTGGAATAGGGATGAGTGAATGTGGCATTAACTTATTTTTGTTGCTCACTTGAAAAAGCTTGTCTTTGAGAACAAATGGAAGTAATATGATTGTAACTAGAGGAAGTCATACACACTTCATTTTGAAGATGGGAAGAGTAGAATGATTGGATTGCCAGTTTTTAACTCAACAAGAATTGGTCAAGCCTTTGGGTAAGAGTTTTAACCTTGGCGACAATTTCCATTGAACTCTCCACTTGACACAAGTTTGAGTTCTTCTTCCCTCCCACATTAGAATTATGACTTACCCGAGAGGATTGAGATTTATTCATTGAATTTTCACTCATATTCTCAACGAGGCGCCAAATGTTATCCTCATTTTTTTTTTTTCAAAATGTGAACCTCCACATGAAGCATCCACCATACTCTTGTGGGTATTAGATAAGCTCTCGTAGAAGCATTGAACTAATTGCCACTTTGGAAGGTTATGATGTGGACAATTCCTTAGCAAGTCATTCAAACGCTCCCACACTTCATGTAGGGGTTCTTTATCTCTTTGGGAAAACTCACGAATTAAAGTTCTCATTGAATTAGTTCGACTTGTAGGGTAATACTTTTTTAGATATTCTTGTTGCAATTGAGCCCATGATGTTATAGTATTCGCCCCTAAGTTGTTAAACCAATATTTAACTTTGTCTCAAAGAGTGAAAGGAAAAAGTTTTAATTTTAAAATTTTTTTAGGGACATCCGTGATTTTCACGGTGGAACACACCTCTAGAAACTCATCCAAATGTTTATAGGGTTCTTCATTTCTAAACCCATGAAAAATGGGACACATTTGAATGGTCGAGGTTTAATCTCATAATGATTGGCCCTAAAATTTGGCAATTGAATACATGTCGGCGCATTATACACATTGGGAGTGTAATGATCATGAATGACCATTGGAGGATTTGGAGCTTGAACTCCGGGAGGAATTTGACATACAGGAGGATGTTGGATCATACTGGGGTCTAGATAACCAAGATTCACATTTTGGTCTTCCATTGGAGTGATGATGATTAAGAGTGGAGATAATCGCGCTAGAATTAGTCAACACACCAACAACTTCAATGAATAATAATTCATAACCTCTACATACGATGTTCCCATACTCCCATGTTATATCAATGCAAGAAATTAATGGCAGCGACAAGGACCCATGCTTTCAACATTTATGTAAATAGCCTCGACAAGGGCTCATGCTTGGACAAGAAATTAAACAATGTAATTAGCCTCAACAAGGGCTATTTCTCAAGTATATAGTAATGAACAATTAAGCTACAAGAGTTTCAAGAATTGCTCACAAAGGTCCCAAGCAATAATGTCAAGATACAATGCTTGCTTTCCATGTATTCAAGTACCTAATTGAACAAGAGTAACAAGTGAGAAAAATAAAAACAAAATGAAATTTAAAATGAACAATCAAAGAAGCACTAATGCTTAATTCAATTCCAATTAAACCGTCATTCGATTCTCTCTTTGTTGTTGCACAAAATAGTGTCACTTTGCTTTAGAGAATGTCAAGTGGGTATCACCTTTTAAAATTTATAAAAGCCACTTAACACTTATACTATGTAATATGAAGTGAGAAGGGGTCGTCCCCAGAGATTGAACACGTATTGGAATTAAATCGAACTTTAGTGCTAATGAGATTGTAAAGAGAGTTGGTTTGGTTTGTTTAGACTATAATTTGAATTTAAAAGCATGCAAAGCAATTGAATTAAAATGATTAGGGTGAAAGAGATATGAGATGAGTCTTAGGGTATAGGAATCACCACTAAGCTCATAACACTAAACCACAAGTCTTTGTCTAAATGGGGAAAAAATCATGTTGAAACCCAAGTATGTGCTACCAATTGCAATAAAGAGCATGACCATCAAATTCAAGCATGAATTGTCTACCTAAGTACAAGCATGATTAAAATGTAGTGCAATTCATCAAGTTGAAGCATAAACCATCAAGTTAATCCACAATTGTAGCACATATCAATCTAGAGAATAATGCAATTTTCAATAATAAGCCATGGATTATCAAATTCAAGCATGAATTGCCTACCTATCTAGGAATTGAAATGAAATTAAACTACAATTAAGCTAAGACATGAATGTAAGGAAATTAAACTAAAAGTGTAGTGCGGTCCATCAAGCATAAGTATAATCCATCAAATTAATCAACAAATGCATTTAGTGAAATCCATGATTAGCCATCACTAAATTCTTAATTAATCACACATAGACATGCAACTAATCTAGAGAATTATTTGAAATAATTTAACCATAGATAAAATCATGGGAAAAACCAAGATCCATATATTTACAAGGCTATAACATTCATTACAACAATAAATTCCCCTAAAAAGACAAAGACTAGAGTTTAGAGAACAAGCCTAGGGCTCTTCCAAGCCCTGAGATGGTGTTTAGCTACTCATGGAGGAGGTGGATGTGATCTTAGAACCCTCAAGGGTAATTCCCAAACATGGCTCTATCTTCTTCCTCTTGGTTTTCTTGTTAGAAACCCTAGAGATCTTGATGCTCTTACCTATTTTCTTCCTAAAAACCCTAATTCTGGATAGAGAATTTTTAATGTCTAAAGTTGATCTCTATGTAAAATTAGCTAACCCTTAACAAAATGGTTGACGAATGTAGAATTATGGATTATGTCGTTATTTTTCTACATTTCATGTAAAAATAAGAAAAACCTGTAAAAACTAAATTAAAGATGGCATAGAATAAGCAGGGTCGAACCATACAAGATTTAAACTCGTGAATCAAAATTAAAACCAAAATTTAAGGAAGAATAACTTTTAAAACAATTTAATGATTTTTTTACTGATGAACTAAAAATAAAATAAATAAATAAGACGAAATAAATTCTGATCAAATAATAAGAAAAATATCAAGGAAAGAATTCACCACAACAACTTACTATAAATAAATTTGCATATTTCTCTTTATGTAAATTTTCATATTGTAAGCAAATCACTTCACCAGTCCAATTGCAACTTGGAAAGATGAAGGAAAATAATAGCGTGAAATAACAATTGCTTGAGAACATATTTTACTTAATCTGATATATCTTTGGTAAATAGAAATAGGCATTCTCCGAATTACCATTAATTGACAAACACGAAGAATCCTTTTTCTAATTTTTTTATATTTTAGTTGATGAGGGCTGAAAAATGCGTATTTAAACCCCTTAAGCTCGAGTATTTGATCGGTTGAGAATTCGATCTATAATAAATCAACCTTCACAATAGCACGAATCATTGTAAAATAGGGCTATTGGTCGGGTAAGTCGAACCACTGGGACTGTGCTAATCTATAGCAACCTAAGTGTCTAGAGTCTTTTTAGAATGATATGGGGTGTTCATAGAGGATTTGTTGGTTGTCACTTAAGCTATGAATTTAAATTGCATAAAACAATAAAGTAAAGAGATATTGATAATAAAGAAGAGACTAGGGAAGTGACTCCACAACCATCAATAAGCATGCTAGGACATGATTTACTAAGGGGAATAACTTATATATACAACCATGGGATGTAACAACACAAAATTATTACATTCCCCTCAAGAAATATATGAAGTCAATAGGCAAGAATAACCTATCAAAGCATTACATGCTTAGGTTACCTAAACTAGAATGCAACCTTGGACATGCTTACTAAGCCAAAGATTATCAAGCCCTTGACCTCATAATGTAAGCACATGAAATGGAATCCAAGAATAATCTATCAAAGGGAGATCCTGAGCAATAGATTATCAATTCTCCTAATTATCATGCCAATAACAACACTTCCATGAACTCATCTCCATTGTCACTGTGAAAATGTAGCAATAGAATCATAAGAGAAAAACAATCTAAGACAAGAGATTTAACTCAAAATGATCATGTATAGATATTGAAGTTCATTACATCAAATGAAGTGCTCTAGTTCATGGAAAAGTTACATACATACATTACTCCCCAAAAATAAATCAAAACAAAGCAATGCTTACAAAATGGAGCTTCATCACCTCCCTAGATAGGAAGTTAGTTGCTCATGGATGCAAGAGAAGAAGGAGAAAGGATGAAGAACCCCTCCATTTTCGCACCTATAAGATACCCACAAGCCAAGAACTCAAGAACTCCCTCCTTTGCTCCCTAACACCTTCCAAGAAAATATATGATCTCCTTTATCTATGATGAGATATCCTCCTATATACACTCAAAACCTACTCCCCATGCTAAAAATCTTGATCTCCCCCCATCTGGTTCATTCTCCACCACATAAAATGAAGATAAGGGGACAAAAATGCTGAAAAAGAGGGGCAGGTGAACTGCCTGCAGAGGGTCGGCGGGCGCCAGCGGAAGCTGCGGCTCGCGCAGATGTCTCTGAAGTGTTTGGCGGGCGCCCGCGGTGGCGCGGCGGGCGCCCGCGGGAGGGCGCGGGGGCTCTTGCGGCTGCAATTCAAGGTGCCGCGAAAGAGGCCAGAGAGTTTGGGGTTAGCGGGCGCATCGCGGGAGCTCCGCAGGCACCCGCGGAGGCTGCAGCTGCACTTCAACTCTTAATTTTCTGCAATTTTCTTCAGGCTGGAGCAGTGACACACGTCCCTTATGAAACACTAAGTCATGTCGCCACAAAAATGGTAATAGAAGAGGCTTGATCAAAAAGATGAATTCCCGACACAGCGTATGCAATTCAACACAAATGATGTCAAAACCGTTTTTTTGATCACTCTCGGGCATAAAACCTGAAATCCGAAAGAAAAACACAATTGAATTAAAACTTTACATTATCCTCTAATAATGGACTTAATTAATGCAAGAAGGGGCACTTGAATATGTAATATTCGGCACTTATTAGTATTCTAGGACCTTTATCTATCTTATTTTTCCATTTTAGACTAATTTCGTGTTATTGCCCTTTTCAGGCACTTATCCCCAAAATAAGTTAATTAAGCCAAATTAGAGCATAAAAGAAGCAATTTCAAGCTAAATGGAAGAAAGGAGCAAGGTGGAAGTAAAGTGGTGGAAAATAACAAATTTTAATCGATCAGATAAATCTTCGATCGATCTCACAATGATCGATCCTGTCTTATGAAGATGGATCGAGCCTCTTGTCTTTATCCCTAAGAATTTCCATCTTCGATCGATCCAACATACTTTCGATCGATCGAACTTCTTTGATCTTATCCCCACCTACCACTTTTGTCTTTTCCCCAAAATATCCTGAAAATATCTTAGATTTGTCAGTATTCCAAAAGGCGCCGCTATGGTTCGATCGATCTCACCAAACTTCGATTGATCGAACGAACACCCTCAAGTTCGAAAAAAAAAATAGAGTCTAGCTCATTAAAAGATGGCTCGTGATGCAATTATTAAAGGGGCCCTAGTGCACAAGGCCTGACCATTGGGTGTGATACTTGAGCTACCTATATAAGGATTTTGAGCCATTTTTACAGAGAGATATACACAATCTTGGAGAGAGAGGTTAGAGGAGTCTAGAGATTAGAGAGATACACACCATTTGGGAGTTCTTCCATTTATCTAGGGTTTCCATCAAGA